ACAGAGAGAGACATAGAGACAGAAAGCGAGAAATCACCCCTCAGGGGGGATGGTCACGCTGCAATCCCTTCTCCTCCATTCTCCTTTCGGGATCTTGGGCACGCACGCACACGCGCCTGGCGTGAGTTTTAAGCCACCGGTCTGGGACGCGAACCACGGTCGACTACGTGGGAGTCCAGTGACATAGCTATTACGCTAACTGCTGGTTCCCAATGATAAACTTTTTAAAAGAATTATTTTATCTAATTATTTATGTATTCATTCATTCATTTAAATTTGACCAGAGCGAGAGAGAGTGAGAAAGCAAGCTGCCAAGTCTGCGACTTGAACAGCAATTAGGCATGTGGGAATGCAGTGCCCTTAACCACCATGGCACCTGCTGGCCCCAAGGGAATTTTGTTCTAAGGTTTTTGCCATTGAGCACGCGTATTTGCTGGAAAGAAACAAGAGAGGCAGTGAAAGGGAAAGTGAGAAATCACCCCCTGGGGGGGATGGCTATGCTATAATCCTTTCTTCATTCTCCTGGGATTTGGGGCATGCACAAGTACATGCTTTGTGATTTTCAAGTTGCCAGGTCTGGGACTGAAACCATGGTTGGCCATGTGGGAGTCCAACACTTGAACCACCATGCCACCAGCTGGCCCTTAAACTTTGATTTTTATCACAGTTTTAGACTTACAGAAAACCTGACATATTCTCATCTTGTTTTCCCTATTATTAATAAGATTCGTATGTACATTTGTTATAATTAATGAGCTAGGGACCAGCAGTTGGCATAATGGCTGTCGCTGGACTCCCACGTAGTCAACTGCGGTTCGAGTCCTGGACCCAGTGGCTTAGACTCATGCTGGGCGCTAGTGCGTGCATGCCCAAGATCCCGAGAGGAGAATGGAAGAGAAGGGATTGCGGCGTGGCCAACCCCCTGGGGGGTGATTTCTCGCTTTCTGTCTCTCTGTGTCTCTCTCTGTCTGGCGAGCTCATGTGCCCTATAGCAAAAACCTCTCCAATAAATAAATAAATATAATTAATGAGCCAATGTTGATGCATTGTTTTTACTCAAGTTGATGCTTTATTCGCGTGTTCTTAATTTTAAACTAATATCCTTCTGCTGTTCAGGATTCTATCCAAGTTACTGTATTACATTTAGTTATATCTCACTAGCCTCATTTTTCTTTCTTTTTTTTTTGGAGAGGTTTTCACTATAGAGGGCGCGTGCGTGAGCTCACCAGACAGACAGAGAGAGACCGAGAGACAGAAAGCAATGGCCACGCCGCAATCCCTTCTCTTCCATTCTCCTCTCGGGATCTTGGGCACGCACGCACACGCACCCGGCGTGAGTTTTAAGCCACTGGGTCCGGGATGCGAACCAGGGTCGACTACGTGGGAGTCCAGCGACAGCCATTACTCTAACTGCTGGTTCCCTCATTTTTCTTTTTTGTATGACTGTTTATTGCATTCGTTAAAATAATTTTGATCCCTACCAATAGGACCAAAATTTGATCCTCCTAGATGTTTTGTGACTGTGTTAAAATACTAATCTTTTCTAGTTGACTCCTAAGTAAGTAAATAAAATAATTAGAATTTCAGCAGACAGCTATAAGAGTAATAGAGAACACTTAATACTTGGGCTTCTTATTTTGGGGTTAAAAATTTCAAACATTGAGGTAAGGCCAGCAGATGGTGTAGTAGTTGGGGTCCTGGACCTCCCACATGGTCAACTGTGATTTGAGACCTGGCTTGCTTTCTAACTTTCATTCTTTCACTAATCAGTGAATTAACAAAATAATAGTAAGTGAAATTAAATAAATAGTTATTTAAAAATAAATTTCAAACATAACCTCATTATTTAGAAATGTTAGTATACCAAGAATACGCACATTACCTGTGAAGTATATCCCCCTGGTTTAATAGAATACTAGGATTCGTGACCAGCAAGTGGCATGATGGTTGAGGCTCTGGACACTCCCACATGGCCGACAGTGGTTTGAGTCCTGGGCCTGGTGGCTTGCTTTCTCGCTTGCTCTCTCTTTGTCTCTCTCTCTCTCTCTGGTTGAATTAAAATAAGTGCATGAATAAACGAAATTAAATAATTCTAAAATAATCATTCTTAAAAAAATACTAGGTTCTTAATTTAATATTGGGAAAAAGGGAGTATGTAATAATCTGAGTTTTCTAATATTAAAAAATTGTTCTGTAGTGTTATTATCTATAGTGTTATGTATAAGCATTTTCTATGTTGTAAGGTTCTTCCTTTGTGTATTAGAAAACTTGTCCATAGGATCTGTGTATTGTAACATATAATATATGCATAACTACCTTTAGTTCATTCATCTTTGGGGGCCCCCCAACCTCAGCTCCAAATTTGTGTCACCCCTGCAGCTCTGACACCATATTTGCTCTATGGATTTCACTGGATTCCATGTTTACTGTGGTTTGCAGGTGTTAGGTCAGTGCTTTGAGCATTTTCTCAGAGTTTTGAACAGCCTTTGGACATTTTCTTCGTTTCTGTTTATCTCATTCTTCTAAATTTTTCATTTTGATAGTTGCTTCTACCCAGTTAATAGGATATATGATTCCTAAATAAATACTAAATAAGCACAAATGTCTGGTTGTTAACTTTGTTTGTTTGTTTGTCTGTTTAAGAGGTTTTTACCTTAGGATATGTACACTCACCAGAGAGAGACAGAGACAGGGAAAGTAAGAAATCATCTCCCTGCAGGGATGGCAGTGCCTCGATCCCATCTCTTCCATTCTCTTCCCAGGATCTTGGGCATGATGCAGATGCAAGCCGCTGGGTCCAAGGCTCAGACCACGGTCAGGCATGTGGGAGTCCAGCAATGTAACTGCTATGCCATCTGGCCTCCAGATACCCTGGTTTTAAAATTTTAAATGACATCTATTTCTAAAGCATATCTGGAGATTCTTCAGGTATGTGAAGACAGTGAATTCTGGGTGTGCTTATAGGCAGTGATTCCTGCATACTGAGAGCACAGATGTGTTCCTCTGTTCTTACTCCAAGGTAGGGAAGCAGTGCATGTACTTATACTGCGATGCCTGTGATGGGAGCACTGCGAGGGTCGTGGCACAGCAGTGTATGCTGTTTTGCAAGACAGGGGTTTTTTTGGCCTTAGGGCACATGCGCTGGCCAGAGAGAGAGATAGTGAGGGGAAAGGTGAAGAATCACCTCCCAGGGGGGTATGGCCACTCTACAGTCCCTTCTCCTTCCAGGGTCTTGGGCACACATGCATATGAACGTGGCATGATTTTGAAGCCACTGGCCCCAGGACTCAAACTACTGTCAGCCATGTGGGAATCCAGCGACGTAACCACTATGCCATATGCCAGTCCTGGGAATTGCTTTTTTAAAACTTTACTTTGGAAAGATTTAAACACACCCCAAAGAAGCAGTAGTTTTTGTGTATATGCATGTGTACCTGCAAATGTGTGTATATTAATATGTGTGTATGTGCTTACATATGTGCATATATTGTTATCATCCCCCATTTAAAGGAACTAAGGTTTCTCAGAGTGGCTGATTCCAGGACAGAGACAGGACAGGTACAAGATAAGCCAGAAAGGGGGAACCAGCAGTTAGCGTAATGGCTATGTCGCTGGACTCCCACGTAGTCGACCGCGGTTCGTGTCCTGGACCCGGTGGCTTAAAACTCACACCGGGCGCGTGTGCGTGCGTGCCCAAGATCCCAAGAGGAGAATGGAGGAGAAGGGATTGCGGCGTGACCATCCCCCCTGGGGGGTGATTTCTCGCTTTCTGTCTCTATGTCTCTCTCTGTCTGTCTGGCGAGCGCACGCGCCCTACAGTGAAGATCTCTCCAAAAAAAAAAAAAAAGATAAGCCAGAAAGTAAGGTAATGCTTTAAAATAATGATGGGACACGTTGAAAGGACACATGAATCACCTTTAAGAGGTTTTAGCTGACAACATCTGGAACAATTTGAGCAGTAGTACATTTCAGGACATTAATGAATTAGAGACCATCTTAACCAGATCTGCAGAAGTAAGTAAGTATGCCTCAAGGCATCCATTATGTGTGATAGATTAGCTTTACTCCTGTGTATCTAAAATGATATTGGCGAAAGACAGTCCTTGGACGAATGGAAAAGTAGTCCCTCACGTCTTTTTCTGTAAGGCCATATTCACTCATAGAACTAAGTAACAATGTAAAAGAAGACTTTTTTTTTTTTTTTGGTGCTATAGGGCTCTTACTGAAGACTGATAGAGAGGGAAAGTGAGAAATCACCCCAGGGGAGATGGCCAAGCAGTAATCCTTTCTCCATTCTCTTCTTGGGATTTTGTGCACACACACACACATGCACCCAGTGTGGTTTCTCAACCCATCAGGTCCGGGACTGGAACTGTGCAGTAGGCCATGTGGAATCCAGCTGCCTTAACTTCCACACTATCTGCTGGTCCAGAATACTCTCAATCTTAGGAAATAGGCACTGAAATATTTAGGGGTAAATTTACTCAATTTACTCTCAATTAGTTCAAAAATATACATGTAGAGAGAACAGTTGATAAAGCAAATGGGAGAAAAGGTCAACAGGTAAATTCAGGTAAATAGAATATGAGGGTTTTGTGTGTGTGTACTTTTTTCCTTGGAACTTTACATTTTTAAAAATCCCTTTATAAATTGATATCTGATACATTTAATGCATCATATTTAATGGCAAAATTAATTGGTGTTTTTATTGAAGCCTGAAACTTCCTGAATCCTTGAGGAGCATTCAGTGTGTTAAATATAACTTTCATAACAACAATGGGTAAGAGAATGTGTTTTAGCAAGAAAGTGATGATTAAGGTATTTCGTAGTTTTCCTTGAGTTTCTTATAAGAACACTGATTTAATTCTAATCCATTCTGGAATAAAGGTATAAATAAGAATTGTGTGAAATGCTTAAAATGAGCATTCAGTATTACTCAGAACAGAAGTAAGTTAAAAGTGAAAATATGATTCAAAAATCGCTATTTGATTTCTTTTTAGGAGGAGCTCTTGGATATAAAAGAACGCCCCCATTCCAAACAGAGGCCTTCGTGCCTTTCCGAAAAATATGACAGGTATGGGTGTCTTTATAGTCATTAACTCCCAGTCAATAACTTTTTGTTACACCAAACTTGGTAAAATAAGAATTTTGTTGTTTTGGAGTTTTCCAGTAGAATTAGGAGTTTGGAGGTAATAATACTATGGGCTTCAACTAATTGGTAATGAAAGTGAGATCAGAAAGTGACTCGGTAAGAGTCCATTACTAGAAAGCTGAATAAAGATTTTAACCCAGAAATCTTTTCTGTATTTTTTTTTTCTCTTTTTTGATGACATTTGTTCAAGGGCCTGCCACAGGTAGGCTGATCAGGAAGGCTCTTAGTCCTTTATCTGTATCCCCCTACCAACCAAACAAAAGAATCATTTAGCCATTCATATTAGCTTTATTGCATCTTACGGTCCTTCAGAATGGGGAGAAGGTGTGGTCTGAAAAGAATGTAGCTAACACTGGTCTGAAAATCTACAATAATCCTGTATTGTACTTCTTGTGGTCACCTTAGTCATTTCTTAAATAGTAACCTATGTGGTTCCTATTGGTCCTCTTTTTTTCTTCTTTTCTTCATTTTTAAGAATTATTTTTATTGGTATAATTTATTTTTTTTATTTGACCATAGAGAGACAGAGAAAGAAAGGAAAAGTGAGAAAGCAACTCGTCAGGTCTGGGACTCTAACCACAGTTGGCCATGTGGGAGTCCAGCACCCTTAATAACCATGCCACCTGCCGGTCCCCCTCTAATTTATTTTAACATATAAAGTTTCATATTGTTTAATTTCTTGGTTGAATAGGATAGTTTGTTTTGTTTTGTTTTTCAGTTTGTCAGAGGGCATATGCACTTGCCAGAGAGAGGGGAGCAGAGAGGAAGAGTGAGAAAACCCCATGGGGCATGGTCATGCCAGTCCCTTCTCTCCCTCTTTTTGGGATTTCAGGTGTGTGTGAGCTTACACACATGGCACGTGCATGCGCACATGTGTGTGTGTATGTGTGTGTTTGTGTGTGTTTTCTTCTTTTCGTTTATTATAGAGCTCCAAGGAAAGACAGGGGAAGTGAGAAATCACTCAAGGGGATAGCCACACAGCAATCCCTTCTCCATTCTCCTCTCAGGATTTTGGGCACACACGCACAAAACTCAGGCACCCAGCATGAGTTTTAAGCCACCTTTCTACTACTCAAACCTGGCATTTGGCTGTGTGGAATCCAGCCACCTTATCCTCTACACAACCTGTTTGCCCTGCCCCCATAATATTTTTCAGGTCACTGGGTCCCAGACTTGAACCACACCGTTGGCCACGTGGGATCCAACTACCTTATTCATCAGGTCATGGACTGCCCTAGGACAAACTTTTAAAAACTTGTATACCACCAGATGGTGTCAGTGGTTATGTTGGTAATGGCTACGTCACTGGACTCCCACGTAGGCAATCATGGTTTGAGTCCTGGACCCAGTGGCTTAAATGTCACGCTGGTCATGTGTGTGTGTACATGCCCAAAATCCCAAGAGGAGAATGGAGAAGGGATGTGGCATAGCGATCCCTTGGGGGGGGGAGTGATTTCTTGCTTTATGTCTCTGTCTCTCCCTCTAATGAGAGCATAGGATCTCTTAAAAAAAAAAAAAAAGATTATATCTGAGGCCAATAGATGGCACAGTGGTTGCCCGCACGGCCAACTACGGTTCAAGTCTTGGACCCAGCAACTTGAAACCCAAGCTGGGAATGGGTATGCGTGCATGTACGCCCAAAATCTTAAGAGGACAGTGATGGAAAAGGGATTGTGGTGTGGTCATCCCCACTAGGTGGTGATTTCATGCTTTCTGACTCTGACTCTCTCTCTGTCTCTCCAGCCAAGTGCATGTGCCCTATAGCAAGAATCTCTCTCAAAAAACAAAAACTAATAGGGGACCACCAGGTGGTGTGGTGGTTAAGGCACTGGACACTCCCACATGGCCAACCACGGTTCGAGTCTCGGACCTGGTGGCTTACTTTCCCATTTTCTCTCTCTGTCTCTCTCTGGTCAAATTAAAATAAAGGAATACATTAAATAAATAATTCTTTTTTAAAAAAACTAATAAAACTCAACTAGAGACATAAAAATCTTTATAGCTTTAACAATAGCAACAGTTTGTCTGAGACTTACGAAAACTCATAACCAATTGGAATAGCCATTATTTAAGTACCACCTTCATCAGGGATATGTAGTGTGGCATCTGGGTTTAACAGGTCTTATGAATAATCTATATACAATTTTTTTTTGGTAGAGGTTTTTGCTTTAGAGTGCATATGCTCACTGGAGAGAGATGGAGACAAAATGGAGGGAAAGTAAGAAATCACTCTTTAGTGGTGGTGACCACACTGCATCCCTTGTTCATTTTCCTCCTAGGAGCTCGTGTGTGCACGTCCATGCACCTGACGTGAGGTTCAAGCTACTAGGCCAAGGACTTGAACCACAGTTGGCCATATGGAAGTCCAGTGCCTTAACCTTTATGCCACCTGCTGGCTCTGAGTTTTGTTACAATACAATTTCTTCTTAGCATGAAATAATCATGGGCAGACATTAGGTTTTACTTTAAAATAGAGTTATTGGGCTTGGTAATAAGAAAAAAAGCTGGAGAAGAAAACTTTTCTTTTTTTTCTTTTTTTTTTAAGAATTCTTTTATTTAGGGCTAGCAGGTGGCGTAGTGGTTAAGGGCGCTGGACTCCCAGATGGCTGACCACAGTTTGAGTCCAGGACCTGGTAGCTTGCTTTCTCACTTTCCCTCTCTCTTTCTCTCTCCCTCTCTTGCTGTATCCCTCTCTGGTCAAATTAAATAATTAAATAAAGTCAAATAAAATAATTCTTAAAGAATTATTATATGGGAGTCTAGCACCTTAACTATTACACCACCTGCTGACCCTGAGGAAAAAGCTTTTTTAGGGACCAGCAGATGGCATAATGGTTATGTTGCTGGACTCGCACATGGTCGATCATGGTTCAAGTCCTGGACCCGGCAGCTGAAAACTGATGCCAGGCACTTGTGCGTGCGTGCCCAAGATCCTGAGAAGAGAATGAAGTAGGGATTGCAGCATGGCCATCCCGCCTGGGGAGTGATTTCTCACTTTCTCTCTGTCTTTTCAGTGAACACATGTGTGCTATAGCAAAAATCTCTTTAAAAAATAATTGGGGCGGGCAGATGGTGGTTAAGGGCACTGGATTCCCACATGACTGACCACAGTTCGAATCCCAGAACTGGCGGCTTGGTTTCACTTTCTCTCTCTGTACCTATCTGGTCAAGTTAAAAATAAATAAGATTAAATAAAATTATTCTTTAAAAAATTTATTTAACATGGGAACCAGCAGTTAGCATAATGGCTATGTCGCTGGACTCCCACGTAGTCCCAGACCCGGTGGCTTAAAACTCACACCGGGTACGTGTGCGTGCGTGCCCAAGATCCCGAGAGGAGAAGGGATTGCGGCATGACCATCCCCCCGGGAGGTGATTTCTCGCTTTCTGTCTCTATGTCTCTCTCTCTCTGTCTAGCGAGTGCATGCGCCCTATAGTGAAAACCTCTCCAAAAAAAAAAAATTATTTAACTTTATTTACTTATTTAAATTTGACCAGAGAGTGATAGAGTGAGAGAGGAAAAGGGAGAAAGCCAGCTGCCAGGTCCAGGACTCTAACCATGGTCGGCCATGTGGGAATCCAGTGCTCTTAACCACTACACCACCTGCCGGCCCCTTTAATTTTTAAATTTTTTTATTTTGCCATAGGGCATGTATGGTCGCAAAGTGGGCGGAGACAGATAATGAGAGGTAAAATGAAAAATCACCCACCAGGCCGATGGCCATGCTATATACTTCCTTCTCCTGGAACTTTGGATACACATGCATACATGCCCTGTGTAATTCTCAAGGTGTTAAGTCTGAGACTCGAACTGCAGTTGGCCATATGGGAGTCTAGCACCTTAACCATTACACCACCTGCTGATCCTGAGGAGAAAGCTTTAAAAAAAAAAAAATTATTTTATTTATTGTTAATTCTTCTTCAGTTTGAATGGGCGGGGAGGAGAGAGAGTGAGCAAGCCACCAGGTCCAAGAGTCGAAAAGCATTAAGCATTCTTGGGAATGGACCAGCCCCATAGCTGAGTGGTTAAGGGAGCCAGATAATACATAGCTGAACAGTAGGAATCCCAGCCCTATAGCTTGAAAAAACATGCCATTATGTGCATGTTCTAAATCCCAACAGGATAGAAAATGGAAAAATGATTGCAGTGTGACCACACTCCATTGGGGCATCTCTCTATCTCTTCTTGTGTACATGTGCCCTCTGGCAAATTAAATCTATAAAGGGGAGAATTTGTTGGCTCTTAAATTCAAAGTAATCCTCACAACCACACTAGAAATTAGGGAATATCTCTTTTGTTGTGAGAAGATAAGGATTTAAGTAGTATAGTCAGTTATTCAAGAAAGGTTCAGTTGATACCTGCTGTGTGGTAAATACCCTGCCAGGTGTTCCCACATACTCTCTGCCTTCATTGAACATTGGTCTGTAGAAGGACGCAATCAAACACAAAGTGTATCATCGCGAACATGACAGGCTATGAAGAACAAGCGTGGAGTACAGTGCAAAGTGTAAGCCTGGCCTGGTCTGATCACGGGTTTGGAGAAGTCCTGTCTTGTGTAAGACACAGCTCAGTAACTTGTCCAGGGTGGTGATGGCAGGCTAGAGTTTGATTCCAGAGAGCAGGATTCCACAACTCTTGTTGTGCACATCGTACCACCTGTCACCTATTATTAGAGCAAGAATAGCGATATGTAAACTACACATTTACGTCCTAAAAAGAGCAATCTAGGGACTAGCAGGTGGCAAAACAGTTACATTGCTGGACTCTCCCATGTAGTCAACTGCAGTTTGAGTCTCAGGCCCGGCAGCTTAAAACTCAGGTCAGGTATGTGTGCACGTGTGCCAAAATCCCTAGAAGAGAATGGAGGAGAAGAGGTTAGAGCTTGGCTATCCCCTCTGGAGGGTGATTTCTCACTTTCTGTCTTTCTGTCTCACTGGCAAGCATACAGGCCCTATAGCAAGGAGCTCTCTTAAAAAAAGAAAAGGAAAGAAAAAGAAAGAAAAAAAGCTGTCCTGCTTATAGAAAAACTGAGAGACTACATAGAAATTCCAGAAAATTACACATCAAACATTTGTTTCTGGTGAGAACAATGTTTTGTTGCTAATACTTATGAAGCATCATCTTTGTATAGGAAAGGCATAGTGACTATTACTCATTTGCACCCCAAGGTTTATGATGTGAATATTGTTCACACACCATTGGTTTTCAAGTGACTTGCTATTATGTGATCACCAACAAAGTATTACTGAATTAGTGGTTATTTTTGTATTAGTCTTAGAAGAGGTCATCATTCTGAAGGCAACCGAGGAGTTTTGAAAAGTAACTTCCATAACTTGCTGCTTTGAAGAGGTTGAAACATTGGAATACTGCCATAGTTCTGATGCAGGCGCTAACTTGTTATCTTTTGACCTGTAGTGATGGTGTCTGGGACCCCGAGAAATGGCATGCTTCTCTCTATCCAGCATCAGGACGGAGCTCACCAGTAGAAAATCTGAAGAAGGAACCGGATCCAGACCGGCCTTCCCTAGTGCGCAGGATAGTAGGTGAGGAGACAGTTGCTCAAAAACGGGGGCAGTGATTTTGAAACATGCCTTTTGTTGCTGGCTTCATTCTTTATTTTCTTTTTCTTTTTTTGAGAGGTTTTTGCTATAGGGCGTGTATGCTCACCAGAAAGAGACAGAGAGACAGAAAGCAAGAAATCACCCCCCAGGGAAGATGGCCATGCCACAGTCCCTTCTCCGTTCTTTTCTCAGGATCTTGGGCACGCATACACACGTGCCCAGTGTGAGTTTAAGCTACTGGGTCCAGGACTCAAACCGTGGTCAACTACATGGGAGTCCAGTGACGTAGCCATTACGCCAATTGCTGGTCCCGCTGGCTTCATTCTTAACTGTGAGCATTGTATGTGTTGGGAGGAAATGTCATATCAGGGAACTGACCTACTGATTGGGTTTCTCCTAGTTAGCAGGTAGTCATAGTCTTCCTGTATAGCAGTAGCACACAGAATGTCTATGTGCTTGTGAATGAAGGGTACCCATGTCTTCCACTGGCATGGATAGCTAAGTTCGATGGGTACGTTACATAAAGCTATGCTGGAAACCTGGTCACGTTTCATCACATAAGAAACTAGTCCTTAGGTAAAAATCAGTTCTTACAAGTTTTAATTCATAATGGACCGTGGTCTGAATTTGGGGTTTGGATGTGGTGGGAGACTGGAGTAAAGTTTGATCTTCGGTACCGTTACCCCTTTAAACTCGGAAAGATACGTAAGGGTGGAATAGAAACTTGGCAATATAAAAGGTAGTTAGGAAACTTGTTGGAAGAACTTTTGAGTTGAAAGAAGGACTCGTTACTGTTTTTTTCTTTTTAATTTGCTATATAGGGCCCACATGCTTGCCAGAGAGGAAAAATGAGAAAGCACCCCTAGGGGCAGGGGTGACTGACCGCACTGCAATCCCTTCTCCATTTTCTTCTTGGGATTTTGGGCATGCAAACATGTGTGCCTGGCATATTTTTCAAGCTACTAGGTTCAGGAGTTGAACCACGTAGGCAGCCATTGGAGATCCAGCGGCCTTAACCACTACACCATCTGGCTGGCCTAATATTCTGGTTTTTCTTTTTTCTTTAGCTTGCTGTAGGATATGTGTGCTCACCAGGGGTGGAATGTGAGAAATCACCCTTGAGGGTGCTGGCCTTAACCACCATGCCACTAACTGGCCCTCTGATTTTTCTACAAACAGATTTTTGTTTTCTAATTTGCCAGAGGGTATATGTGCTTGCCAGAGAGATAAGAGAGGGAAAGTGAGAAAGTACCTCTTTGGGAAATGGTGCCATAATACCCCTCTCTTCCATTTCTTTCTTTTTTTTTTTTTTAATTTTGGGGATGCACTGAAATATACCTGACATGTTTTTAAAGCCTCAAACAAAATAATAAGCATTTCTATCATTGTCAAAAGGGCCCTAGTACTATGGGTCCGTCTCTGAAGCTCCTCCTCATATTTCACCCAAGGGAAGCAATGATCTGCTTTCTGTCCCTGTAGATTAGTTTACATTTCCTAGAATTTTATATAATGGAATTGTTACAATATGTATTCTTTCTGTGTGCCTTCTTTCACACAGAATAATTTTTTAAAAGAATTATTTAATTTGATTTTAATTTTATTTATTTATTCATTTATTTTTAATTTGACCAGAGAGAGACATACACACACAGAGGGAGGGAAGGAGGGAGAGATGGAGAAAGTGAGAAAGCAAGAAGCAAGCCACCAGGTCCGGGACTCGAACCATGGTCAGCCATGTGGGAATGTCCAGCAACTTAACTACCATGCCACCTGCTGATTCTCAGAATAATTAGTTTCTATTCTTCTTGTTATTGACTGTATAAATAGTTTATTTTTATTGCCTTGTATTATTTCATTATACAGATTTACCATAGTTCGTTCATTTATCTGTCAATGGGCATTTGAATTCTTCAGTTTTTGAGTATTAAAATCAAAGCTGCTATTCACGTATAAGCTTTATTAAGGATTGTTTATTTTTTTTCGGAGAGGTTTTTGTCATAGGGCGCGTGTGCTCACCAGACAGAGAGACAGAAAGCGAGAAATCACCCCCAGGGAGGATGGCCACGCCTCAATCCCTTCTCCTCCATTCTCCTCTCGGGATCTTGGGCACGCACGCACACATGCCAGGCATGAGTTTTGAGCAACCAGGTCTGGAACGCGAACCCCGGTCGACTACCTGGGAGTCCAGCGCCATAGCCATTACGCTAACTGGTGGTCCCTGTAAATTTTGTTTGTTTGTTTTGAGAGGCTTTTGCTATAGGGCACGTGCACTCACCAGAAAGACAGAGAGAGAAAAAGAAAGTGGGAAATCACCCCCCGAGGGGGTGGCCATGCTGCAGTCCCTTCCTCTCCATTCTCTTGGGTGTGCATGCACATGTACCCAGCATGAGTTTAAGCCACTGGGTCCGGGACTTGAACCACGGTTGATTACATGGGAGTCCAGCAATATAGCCATTACACCAACTGCTGGTCCCATTGTTATCATTTTTTAAATTTGACCAGAGAGAGAGAGAAAGGGAAAGCGAGAAACAAGCTGCCAGGTCCGGGACCCAAACTGCGGTCGGCCATGTGGGAATCCAGCATCCCTAACCACCATGCCACCTGCCGGCCCCATATGCATAAGTTTCTGAATGGACATAGGCTTTCTTTTCTCTTGGGTAAATACCAAGGAGTGTTCATATAGTTAGACATACATTTAACATTTTGAAGAACTGCCAAAGTGGTTTTATCATTTTACATTTCCACCAGCAGTGTGTGAGTTCCATGTGCTCCACTTCCTCCTTAGCACTTGGAATGGTCAGTCTTTTTTATCATAGCCATTCTAATAGGTATATAGTACTGTCCTTTTATGATTTAATTTGCATTTTCCTAACGACTAATGATGAGTATCTTATGCTTATTTGCCATGCCATCTCTGTAACCTTCTTGGTGAAGTGTCTGTTCAGGTTTTTTTTTTTTTTTTTTTTTTAAGAATTATTTACTTTAATTTATTTATTTTTAAAATTTTGACCAGAGAGAGAGGAAAAGTGAGAAAGCACGTCCCCCAGGTCTGGGACTCAACCTTGTGGGATTCTTAACCACCACACCACCTGCCAGCCCATTAATTGGCTTAGTCTTTTATTATTGAGTTTTTATGTATTCTGGATACAGGTCCCTTTTCAGAATTATACTTTGAAATACTTTCTTGTAGTGGGTGACTTGTTTTTAGATTTTCTAAGTGTTGTCTTTCAAAGAGCATGCAAAAGTTGTAAATTCTGGTCAAACCTGGTTTATCAGGTGTTTTTCAGTTGTACATTTGGTATCGTGCCTAAGAAAATTTTGCCTAACCTAATGCCACTCTGTATTTTATTCTAGAAGTACTATAGTTTTAGGTGTTACCTTTAGATCTGTGATCCATTTTGAATTAACTTTTTTATATGGTAATAGGAATAGATTCAAGTTATTTTTTGTGTATTGATACCCAACAGTTTAACACTATTTGTTGAAGAGACACTTTAACTTTTTAAGCAGTTATTTTTCAAATTCTGACATCTACCTACTATAGTGTATTAGTTAGAACATTTGCTAATTATATAAATAAGGACATAGTCAATATAAAGGCACTGTAGAAACTAATCATGGAACATCATTTGTCGTGAAGTACATTATTGCTCTGAAGAGAAAAAGTAAAAGGGTCAATTTCATTTAAACATGTAATATGCATGTTACTCTGAGTCTATCAAGCCCAATTGTGATGACTCTTTTCCAGCCCTCCCCTTCCTCCCACCAGTCCTGGACATAAACCACCTAGGAAAGAACAGTGCTCTTGTCAGTTTGCTTAGCTTTCTCTTCCCCACATCTTTCCAGATCCACGAGAACGTGTAAAAGAAGATGACTTAGATGTTGTTCTCAGCCCACAGAGGCGAAGCTTTGGAGGGGGCTGCCATGTGACAGCTGCTGTTAGTTCCCGGCGCTCAGGAAGTCCATTGGAGAAAGACAGTGATGGGCTTCGCCTGCTTGGTGGACGCAGGATTGGCAGTGGGAGGATAATCTCCGCCCGGACCTTTGACAAGGATCACCGTCTTAGTGATAAGGACCTGCGGGACTTGAGAGACAGAGACCGTGAGAGGGACTACAAGGACAAGCGTTTTAGGGTTTGTCTCCTAGACCCTTTGGTATCTCACGTGCTTGGGAACATGATATTCACTTCGTTTATACCAGGTTACTTTGAGAATCTGGATGAACACAGCCCACTCATAAGCCAGAAAAAGTGGAATAGAGAGACCTGGAAGGGACGGTGGGTAGGGCATGGTGATGGGCTTCAAGTCTACAGCATAGTATCTTCATTGCAGTGTTGATGTTAACTATTCATTAAGACCTAGATGGAAGTAGAAATGTCTCAACTAGAATCTTATTTTTTTTTTAATCTTGTTTCATATACTTTTCCAGAGGGAGTTTGGGGATAGTAAGCGTGTCTTTGGCGAGCGTAGAAGAAATGATTCTTACACAGAAGAAGAACCAGAGTGGTTCTCAGCTGGACCCACAAGTCAGTCTGAAACCATCGAACTGACTGGTTTTGATGATAAGATACTAGAAGAGGATCACAAAGGGAGGAAAAGAACACGGCGACGGACAGCCTCTGTGAAGGAAGGTCAGCACCAACTTTGGGAGAAAGTTTGCTGTTTTAAAATAAAATGGGTTACTCTTGGCTTCGTTGTACACTGAGAAATGGGCACCACTGTTAAGAAATGGCAAGTTTTTAAAGTTGTAGCCTCATTTTTGAAACTGCTTCGTGAGTGAACATTCACTACATATAGAAGGTACTGTGTACTGTCTCTTCCACATTTCTGCCTGCTGTACTCAATAGAAAAATCTCACAGTAAGAGCACCATGTACATTAAAGGGCTCCCCAGAAATAAGAAATGTATGTGGTAAAGATAATGAGAGGTCTCATTTATTGAGCAGTTATGTACTAGACACAGAGATAAGTATATTATGTCTATAAAAATCATTCTCCGAACAGCTCTATGCAGTAGATACTTTATGCACATTTCAGAGATTAATTAATACAGGCCAGAGGACATAGGTGGCTTGTCTGTGATCACTGAGGAAATAATGAGTTTTGGAGCTGAACAAGATGCTTTTAGTCTTCAGACCCCACCTTCTTCCTCATGACATGAGACCTTCCCAGGTCGGTTTGTGATTCGCCTTCTCCTAAACTTAGTGTTCTCAGCTGTAAGATAAGGTCAAGAATCTCTTTCACCAAACCAACAAGCCAGAGCTGGTGTGCGAGATGTGCCTGAGGCAGAGTCAGGTCCCACTGGTTTGCAGCCAGTCATTTTCGGGGCAGTGACCCAGCACTGGGGGCCAGCCCTGGACTTATCCTGGAAAGAGACCGTTCAAAGCCATAATGAAGAGCTAGATGGACTAGCCTGGGATTGAGTCCTGGGACAGCTACTGAGCAAAGGATTATCTTTAACAAAATCTGAAAAGGTAGACATGTTTCTTTGTAAGGTACAGTCAATGTCATAACTTTAAGAGTAAATTTTAGCATTGAAGATCAGATGTACACATTAGAGCTCAAGCTCCAGTGGGCACTTAGTAAACTAGTTCATTCAAGCTTAAGTGGAAAAAACCTTTTTCAAGATACTAGGCAACAAAAGGGGAAAGCTATTTTAATACATAGATGACAAGTCAGTGCCAACTTAAAATTGTAGTGAAGTTAAGACAAATTTAAGCAGCTTTTTTGAGAAATACCAGAATAAAAGCAGAAGTTAGCATTTACCCTCTCTCAGTCTGTATCATTCTCACTGATTAATAACAAGACTGGACTACTGTAGTTGTTGGGGACTTTTTTTAAATAATTGTTTTTATTTCATTTTATTCATTTATTTTAATTTGACCAGACACAAAGAGAGAAAGAAAGTGGGAAAGCAAGCCACCAGATCCTGGACTCGAACCATGGTCGGCCATGTGGGAGTGTCCAGCGCCTTAACCATCATACCACCTGCTGGTCCCTTGTTGGGGACTTTTGAGAGGGGATGGGTATAGGCTTTGATGTCTTTTTTCCCCCTCCTGAGGACTTCATGTCTGCCATGATCTTGAGACTATAGACAGCTTTTATGGATATTTTTGCCAGGGGAATTTTAGGAGTTCTGTTCTTCAGATAAAAACATCGAATGGCAAGTATCTTACAGTACATTGTTTTGTTTTGTTTGTTTGAGAGAGAAAGCATCCTTGGTAGGATCTTGTCATGCTGTAACCCCCTTCCCAGCAGCCCGCCAACTCCTCGGATCCTGGGTGCGCAGAGTATTCTTCAGGCTGACCTGGGATCTGAACTGCAGTAGCTGTTTGGCTTCCAGCACTGCAGGGTGCCAGTGTTACCACTGTACCACAGCGGCTGGGCCGATTTTTTGTTTTTTGAAGGTACTTCCAAATGGCAAGTGTTTATACCCTAAAGATTTTGATTTTTGTCCATACTCTGGCTAAAACGGAAATATTAGATACTTTAAATGTTAGAACCTGGTAGTAATAGTACCTCTTATCTGTCTTAAAACAACTCAGCCTTACTGAGTTTGATGTATACCTGGCACTATAAGAGAAGTCAAAACTAATTAGAGCAGATTGCCCGCAGAGAACTCTGTCTCACCAGAGAGTTACTGTAATACAGTGTGGTAAGTGCTTTGAGAGATGACACAAAGATTATAGAGAAGGCAGTGATTAATTTTACCAGCTAGGAAAAAATGGGTAGGCAAGGCAGTCTTCCCAGAGAAGGTGACATTTGAATTTTGTCTTGAAGGATGAGCTCTATCTACTGTGTAGGCAAATGAAAATGGCCCCATGCCAGTTTTCACATACATAACCTTCTATTCATGAACTGACTTAATGTGGTGGTACATGTTCAAAGACAGCTCAGTTAATTTGGTTCTGTTTTTATTTTATTTTTTAATTCCTAGAGGGCACATATGCTTGCCAAAGAGCAAGCACATTCCCCAGTAGGGTGTGGCCACACCACATCTCCTTCTCCATTTGTCCTTTTTATTGGGATTTGGGGCGTGCACACATGTACCAGTCATCTTTTTCTTTTTTCTTTTTTTTTTGGAGAGATTCGCTATAGGGCGCGTGCGCTCGCCAGACAGACAGAGAGAGACATAGAGACAGAAAGCGAGAAATCACCCCCCAGGGGGGATGGTCACGCCGCAATCCCTTCTCCTCCATTCTCCTCTCGGGATCTTGGGCACGCACGCACACGCGCCCGGCGTGAGTTTTAAGCCACCGGGTCCGGGACGTGAACCGCGGTCGACTACGTGGGAGTCCAGTGACATAGCCATTACACTAACTGCTGGTTCCCGAGTCATCTTTTTCTTTAAAGAGATTTTTGCTATAGGGTGCCTGTACCTGCCAGAGAGACAGAAAGAGAGAAATCACCCCTCGGGAGGGATGGCCACACCACCATCCCTTCTCCTCCATTCTCCTCCTGGGATCTTAGGCACACATGCCCGTGGTGAATTTTAAGCCACCAAAGCCAGGACTTGAACTGTGGTCGACTTATGTGGGAGTCCAGCAACATAACCATTACACAACCTGCTGATCCCTACCAGGCATGTTTTTCAAACTGTCAAAATGGGAATTCAAACTATCATTAGTCATGTGAGATCCAGTTCCTATAACTAGTAGGCTATGGGGCTGGCCCAGTTTGGTTCCATTTTTAAGCAGTAAGACACTTGGCAGAGCCTATCTGTATAAAGAAAAAAATTGTGTTCCCATTAGAAAAAACCCATAAGGCAACCTGAAGCCTGTTAATTAAGGGAAACAGTATCCCACATGGGCAATGACTGTTCAAATCCCTGCCCTGGCATCCTTAAAGACACCATGGTGCAAGTGCAAGCGTGTCCAGAATTCCTTCATAATGGAGAAGTGCAAGTGAAGAGATCCGTGGCATGACCATGCCACACTGACGAACAGGAGCCTGTATTCTCTCGATTAAAATAAGAAAAAAAAAACAGAACCCACTACCTTATGGGAAACTTGAAGTATTTGGTTAGGGAGGATATAATCTCTCCCCCATGGCCCTGTTGTGTTGATGCTCCAGTTTGTTATTAAGGCTTTTTTCCTCCCTGTTTTATTCTTGCAAGTGCCATATCTGCACAGGAAGTCAGCTTTTAAAATCATCTGTGACTCTTCTGCTTATGTGCTCGTGGTTGAGGTCGTTGGGTGAGACGACAGCGGTTCACTTGAGCAGACTGTTTTTTTTGCTGGTTTTACTTTCAGGCATAGTTGAATGCAATGGAGGAGTGGCCGAAGAGGATGAGGTGGAAGTCATTCTTGCCCAGGATCCTATTGCAGATCAGGAAGTACCAAGGGATGCCATCTTGCCTGAGCAATCCCCAGGAGAGTTTGACTTCAATGAGTTCTTTAACCTGGACAAGGTGCCGTGCTTGGCCTCGGTGAGTGCAGCAGCATGCTTATATAAACATGGATGGAGCAACTGTATGGGGAAATTTGACTTGAGATTTAAGATACTTCTTTTGAAGAACTGTTTTGCTAAATTCCTTGGGGTTTGAGGCTTTTATTTTTAAAATTTTGAGTTTTTATTGATTTCATTTTGAGAGACTTAGTGGAAATAACTAAAGGTGGATTCTGGAGCAGTTACCTCTTTTTCTAGGGATTGGAAATTCTCAGATGTTTAAGAACATTGCTTTTATTTTTAATTACTTGAGTATTGTAAAGACTTACTGTTGAGGTGACTTTTCATAACTGATGATTGGTGTCATGCGAACCTGCTTTCCCTGGGAGAGCTGCCTGGTTAGGTGTTATCTTTTAGATACAGTGATCCCAAAAACCTTTAATAAAAGGCAATTTTTTGGATACTATCAGTGTTACCCTTAAACCCCGAAAGTCTAGTCTTTTTCTTGTTTTTAACTGCCAGACAGCATGTGTGCTCATGAGACAGAGAAACCCCCAATAGAGTGTGGCTATGTCATAATCCCATCTTCATTCTGTTTGGATTTTGAGTGTGAACACACATGTACCCAGAGTATTTTTCAAGCTGCTGGGACCAGGATTCCAACCACAGTCAGCCACGGGGGATCTGGCTCCCTCAACCACTAGGGTGCAGGGCCAGCCCTCATTCTGGACATTGAAAGTGGTTATTAAGCCATCCCTCAGTTTTCATCTGCTCCCTGCTCCTGCCCTGTCAGCATCTGTGAATTTAGTATACCTTCCAAATTTTAAGAGAAGAGGTTTGAAATTGTGGCTCATTCACCCAGAAATGAGATTTTTCTCTGGTTGCTAAAAGACTGCATAGAATTATGATTGATTCTGTTTTTGAAGAATTATTTACTTTTGGGTCTGGCAGGTGACGTGGTGGTGAAGGGCACTAGACTCCCACATGGCTGACCATGGTTCGAGTTCCGACTCTGGCAACTTGCTTGCTTGCTTTCTTCCTTTCTCTCTCTCTCTGTCCCTCTCTGGTCAAATTAAAATAAATAGAGTTATAAAAAATGATTATTTGTTTAAGGTTACTTTTATTATTAATTTTTTTGAATTATTTATTTAATTTTCTTTCTTTCTTTCTTTTTTTAATTTGGCCAGAGAGAGAAAGGAAAAGTGAGAAAGCAAGCCACTAAAAATTTCACTAACACTGAGCAGTCATTATTGGCCCAGGAAGTCTTTCTCGCTTTCCATGAAGATAGTACTCATCAAGGTACATATTTATAATAGTTCCACATAAGTACAACAGGTTAATGAACACAGATGCTCTCATTGTACCTTGTAACCCGCCGAACTCTTAATACATATGCTGACAAAATGATCAGTTATTGGGGGAACAGTAAATAAGAAAGCTTATATAGGATTTGAATATAAGTAAACAAATGTGTGAAATGCTTAAAACAGCACCTGACACTTAATAAGCTCCAACTGTTAGCAATTGATAGATATAAATAATTGAGAATACACTTTTTTTAACTTTTGTTTTGCTATATGGTGCCTGTGCTTGCTGGAGAGAGAAATCATCCCCTTGAGGAATAGCCACACCACAGTCTCCTCTCCTCCATTCTCCTCTCAGGATTGTGCACATACACATGCCTGGTGTGTTTTCAAACCACCAGTTCTGAACCACTTAGTCAACTAAGGAAGTCTGCTTTCCTTCAGATACAAAGCATAGGCTGGCTCCATGGTCTGGTGGTTAACGCAGCAAGACACCACGTATCTGACTCCGTTTGAATCTAGACCTCAGTGACTTGAGAGAAACACTAGACTTGTATGCATGTTTACCCAAGGTTCCAACAAAATGGGCAAATGGAGAAGGGATTGCAGTGTGACCATTCCCTAATAGGGTTGCCTTCTCCTCTGCTCAACTCTCTATCTTCTCTGGCAAATTAAAAATATATATGTATGGGACTGGCAAGTGGTATGGTAATTAAGGTGCTAGACATGGCTGACCACGGTTCAAATGTCAGACCTGATGACTTACTTTCTCAATTTACCTCTCTCTCTCTGGTCCAATTAAAAATAACAGTAATGGGGATCAGCAGTTGGCATAATGGCTGTGTCACTGGACTCCCATGTAGTGGTTTGAGTCCTGGACCTGGTGGCTTAAACTCACGTCAGGTGTGTGTGTATGTGTGCCCAAGAGAGAATGGAGGAGAAGGGATTGTGGCATGTCCATCCCCTCAGGGGGTGATTTCTTGCTTTCTGTCTCTTTGTCTCTATCTTTCTGGCAAGCGCACATGCCCTGTAGCAAAAACCTCTCCCAAAAAAGAAAAGTGCCTATCTCACTTTCTCTCCTAAAAATAAATGCATAAACTTTTTTTAAAAAAAGAAAGAAAGAAAATCACGCTGGAAAGCCAGCGGGTGGCATGGTGGTTAAAGGCACTAGACTCCCACATGGCTGACCACTGTTCAAGCCCCAGACCTGGCGGCTTATTTGCTTACTTTCTCTCTCTCTTTGTGTATCTTGTTATGTCCAAATTAAAAATAACAATAATAATAAATAAATAAATAAAAAAAAAATCATACTGGGCACATGTGCGTGCATGCATGCCCAAGACCCCCCAGGGGAGAGAAGGGATTGCAGCATGGCCATTCTCCCCCTTAGGGGGGAATTTCTCACTTTCCCTCTCACTGTCTCTCTCTTTCTGACAAGTGCACATCCCCTAAGGAAAAAACTTCTTTTCTTTTAAAAAAAAAAAGTTAAAAAATTATTCTGATTATAGTGCTTCATTTTCATTGTCCTTAGTATCAGCCCAAAACTGTGAAGGGCAGATATAAAGGAAAACTCCTCATTAAAGTCAAACACATAACTCATCAGGTAAAAATTTCATCTTTCACATTCTGACAATATATAATTATGATCTTTATGAACTCTACTCTTTTTTTTTTTTTTTTTAATAGAGATTTTTGCTATAGGGTGCATGTGCTCACCGGAGAGAGAGAGAGAGACAGAAAGCGAGAAATCACTCCTTGGGGAGGATGAACATGCCACAACCCCTTCTCCTCCATTATCTTCTCCTGATCTTGGGCACATACACATGCCCATGCTCCAAGAGTATGTTTTACACTGCTGGGTCCAGGACTTGAACCATGGTTGACAATGTGGGAGTCCAGCAATGGAACCGTTATGCTATCTGCTGGTACCGGAACCTACTCATTTTTATAATAACTTTTGGCTTCTGCAATGATAACAATAAAATTTAATGATTCTCATTACAATCTTGAGTCAACAGAATTTGAAAATAGGGTTTTCTTTCATCACTCTTTCACACCTGATGTTTAGGTGAAGGCCAGCTTATCAGTGGACTGCTTCACTTTGTGCTAATTTTGACTTTTGAAGCTGTGTCCTCCGAGACCATTCAGTAGTACTACCAATTTTTGGGTGAAGTGAATGATAAGGAACTAAAAACACTTTCGTAGTATGGAGACTTTGCTTTATATGCTTAGAAAATACTCAGTTGTGGGACCAGCAATTAGTGTAATGGCTGTCACTGCACTCCCATGTCGCCAGATTCGAGTCCCAGACCCGGTGGCTTAAACTCACACCGGGCGCGTGTATGTGTGTGTATGTGCGTGCCCAAGATCCCGAGAGGAGAATGGAGGAGAAGGGATTGTGGCATGGCCATCCCCTGGGGGGGGGGGGTGATTTCTTGCTCTCTATCTCTCTGTCTCTCTCTGTCTTTCTGGCGAGTGCACGAACCCTATAACAAAAACCTCTCCAAAATAAATAAATAAATAAATGATCCAGGAAGAACAGTTAAAGATATTTAAAACCCTGAGTTCTAAGAGTTCTACTTAGTTCAGTAGCACCAAAGGAAGTTTTAAAGTAAGTGACTGTTTCTTAAAATTTGAACATTCTTATCCTTTTTTACTTAGAAACTATTAGCCTAGCTCCTTCTGTTTTTCTCTTTAGATGATAGAAGATGTGTTGGGAGAAGGGTCGGTCTCTGCCAGTCGGTTCAGTAGGTGGTTCTCTAACCCAAGCCGATCAGGAAGCCGATCTAGCAGTCTTGGTTCAACACCACATGAAGAACTAGAGAGACTGGCAGGTAAAATGCCTTCAAATGCTACCTTTGAATATAGACTTGAACTTTCTCTGATGTGGTTCATTCTGTCTTCATTATGAAGGGTCCATTAGGGCCAAAGGGTTTCTAGATACTGAGAAGTCATCAATTTGTGCCCTCTTTATACCATTGAAGATCACCTTCTGTGATGTGTTAGAAGCAAATAATTATGAATGTGTTTATTTTCAATATCAGGTCTGGAGCAAGCCATTCTCTCTCCTGGACAGAACTCTGGGAATTATTTTGCTCCTATACCATTGGAAGATCATGCTGAAAATAAAGTGGATATTTTAGAGATGCTACAGAAAGCCAAAGTGGATTTAAAACCTCTGCTTTCCAGCCTTTCTGCAAATAAAGAAAAACTTAAGGAGAGCTGTAAGTGTTTATAAGAGCCTACTTTGGGGTATTTGGGGTATCTGAATATGTTTAGAAGATCAGTCTTAAGGCAGTTGGTTGAGACATGGAGCTATTTCATCACGAGTCAAATATATATTTAACATTGTTCAAAAAAAATCATTTTTGAAATAATATGACTTTTTTTTTTTTTTAAGAATTTTTTATTTAACTTTATTTATTTATTTTAATTGACCAGAGAGAGAGAGAAAGCAAGCTGCCAGGTCCAGGACTTGAACTGCAGTTGGCCATGTGGTAGTTCAGCACACTTAACCACCACACCACCTGCTGGCCCCAATACCACCTTTCTGCGAAGCTAATAATAGTCAGTGGGTCATAGACCTTGTCATAAGAACTTTTCCTCAAAGTTCTTCTTACCTGGCACCTGATTATAACACTGCAATAAGCACTTTAGTCCTCTCTTGAAACCAGCAGTTGGTGTAATGGCTATGTCACTGGACTCCCATGTAGTCAGCTGCGTTTTAAGTCCTGGACCTGGTGGCTTAAATTCACACTGGATGTGTGTGCATATGTGCCCAAGATCCTGAAAGGAGAATGGAAGAGAAGGGATTGCGGCATGGCCATCCCCCCAGGGGGTGATTTCTCATTTTCTGTCTCTCTCTCTCTCTCTGTCTTTCTGGTGAGTACACACACCCTATAGCAAAAACCTACCCCCCACCAAAAAAAAAAAGAAAAAAGAAAAAAGCATTAGTCCCCTCAGGCATATTGGCCATGAGGCTGGCAGGTGGCATGGAGGTTAAGGGTGCCGGACTCCCACATGACTGACTGTGGTTTGAGTCCTGGACCTGGAGGCTTGCTTTCTCGCTTTCTGTCTCTCTTCTCTCTCCTCCTCTTGCTTGCTCTGTCCCTTTCTGGTCAAATTAAAATAAATAAATAAATAAAGTTACATTTAAAATTCTTAGAAAAAATTAAAAAAAAAAAAAAAAGGCATATCGGCCAGCTCTTCACAACTTTGCCCCAGACTGCCCTGTTCTTTCTTGTACTGTAAGCCCTCAACATAAAAACCTAGTGGGATAATAGCCACAGTACAAAAGTAGTCTTGCTGATGAGGAGTAATCTAGGCTTTCCTGTCCCACATACCAAGTCTCCAGAACACTTATTTCAAGATAGCGTTTTGTAAGATGTTTGTAAGCAGTTTCTTACCAAGTTTTAAGGCATAGCACCTTGTGGTGGTCCCCCAGTTTGTAGCATCTAAACATTTTAAGTTTTGTTCCTGCCATTTCTTAGTAAACAGAGCCTTATTCCCCTAAGTAACTGTGATCTCAAGTATCTTCAGTTTGTCTATTTAGGTGCCAGCCTTTTCTGAAAATCTCACTTCGACTGTGAAATAAACTGTTTTCATTCACCTTAACCACCATGGTAACCAAAAATAACTCCTACCAGATACCCCTTTGCTTGGCTTAACCTGGACTTTCTCAACCTTTCAGCACATTCAGGGGTTGTCCTTTCAGTGGAAGAGGTAGAAGCAGGGCTCAAGGGCTTGAAGGTGGACCAGCAAGTGAAGAATTCCACTCCCTTTATGGCAGAACACTTAGAGGAGACCCTCAGTGCTGTAACCAGTAATCGACAGCTCAAGAGAGATGGAGATATGACGGCGTTCAACAAGCTTGTGAACACCATGAAGGCAAGTGGGACTCTGCCTTCTCAGCCCAAAGTCAGTGTGAGTATTTGGCACAAGCCCCACCCTTTCTTCCTTGTCCCTCTTTCTAGTCCACTTCCCACCACAATAAATAGGTTTTGAAAAGGGTAATCTGACTAGGTTGGAAATTCTTTAGTAGTCATTTGGTCCATAATGTTGTTTGTGTGTTCCCTAATTATTGATAGGCCTGTTGTTACTAGAAAAAGTATCTTTAGTTAATAAACTCTAGTGTAGATAACAGTGTAAAGATCAAAAGGGTCAGTCTTATACATTCCTTAAAAACTCTCTTTAAACTCCAGAGAAAGTTTTCTGGCTATTCATCTACTTAAGTTCATAGGACCAGCAGATGGCATAATGGTTATGTCACTGGACTCCCATGTAATCACCTGTGGTTTGATTCTCAGATCCAGTGGCTGAAAACTCATGCCAGGCATGTATGTATGTCCAAAATTCCAAGAGGAGAATGGAGGAGGAGGGATTGCAGAGTGGCCATCCTCCCCCAGGGTGGTGGGTGATTTCTCACTTTCTGTGTCTCTGCCTCTCCGGCGAGTGCATGTACCCTATAGCAAAAAAATCTCTTAAAAAAAAGAAAGAAAAAGAAAAGAAACAGAAATCCATCTACTTAAGTTCATGTAACTTTCCATGTTTTAATGATACTTTCATTTCTTCTAATTAATCCCAAGGATCTGGGATCTGGAATTATCTGCTTTCTTTTTTTTTTTGAGAGGGTTTCGCTATAGGGTGTGTGCGCTCGCCAGACAGACAGAGAGAGACATAGAGACAGAAAGCGAGAAATCATCCCCCAGGGGGGATGGTCAAGCCACAATCCCTTCTCCTCCATTCTCCTCTCGGGATCTTGGGCAAGCACGCATACGCGCCCGGCGTGAGTTTTAAGTCACCGGGTCTGGGGTGCGAGCTGCGGTCGACTGCGTGGGAGAAAAGCAACTTTAGCCATTACGCTAACTGCTGGTTCCCTGGAATTATCTGCTTTCTTAATTATGCAGTTGGCAGTCATGAATTACTTATAGCATCTAAGATGAATTTTTCAAGACAATTGTATTTTGTTAATTTGCATTTCTGTTGGGGGACCAGCAGATGGCATAATGGCTTTGTTGCTGGACTCCCATGTAGTTGACCGCGGTTCGAGTCCTGGACCCAGTGGCTTAAACTCACACCAGGTGCGTGTGTGTGCATGCCCAAGATCCTGAGAGGAGAATGGAGGAGAAGGACTTGTGGCATGGCTATCCCCCCCAGGGGGTGATTTCTCACTCTCTCTCTCTCTGTCTCTCTCTTTCTGGCGAACGCACTACAGCAGCCAAAAAATTTTAAAAAAATAAAAAAGAAAAACTCAAAAAAAACAAAGATTTGCATTTCTGTTAATTTGCTATGACTGCAAATTAAAAAAATTTTTTTTTGAAATTTTGCTGTGCTGTAGTGTGTTTACTTGCCAGAGACATAGAAAGAGGGAAGATGAGAAAGCATCTCTGTGGGGACAGCCACCTTGCAATCCCTTCATTCTCCCCTCGGGATTGTGGGCATGCATATTTTTCAGTATGTTTTTTAATCTGCCAGGTCCAGGACTTGAACTGTGCTCTCAGCCATGTGGGATCCAGCTGCCTTAACCACCATGGGCACTGGCTGACCCATGACTCCAAATTTTAAAAATATTTTTAGGCATAAAGTTAGGTTATAAAGTGACTGCAGATCAGTTAGTGTAGATGTGTAGTATTTTGGTCCTTGTCATAACTTTTTATCTTAAGGCTTATTTATGTGATTTTGTTTGTCATTACTATTATCATTTTTCAATTTGCTACAGGACATGTGGGCTCACCAAAGAGAGAGAGAGAAAGCCATCAAGTCTGGGACGCGAACCTCTGTCAGCCATGTGGGAGTTCAGGGCCTTAAATACCATGCCACCTGCTGGCCCCCTTGTCAAAACAATTTTTAAGGGAATGATTTCCAGCCATGGCCTATGTGTTAAATATCATTTTCCTTGATGAATCAAAGTGATGAAGAAACAGAGCATATCTAAATATTAAAAATCATAAACACAGACTTGTTTTAATTGCTAAGTTGTAACAAATTTACCAAATTAAGTTTTGCCTCTTTTTTTCCCCTCACCTCTTATCTGAGAACACGTTAGCTAAAGTGTGTCCAGCTATAGCTGTTTGATTTTTTGTGCCTTGTACCAAGAGAAGGCAACTGGTTTTAAGCATTCTTCTTCTGACCATCAGTTAGTAACTGAGATTTCAACTTGTTGGATGAGACAGTCTTTATTCCTGGCCTTAGTGCCAGGACTGACATTTTGCCTCTGGAAGGAGGCACCTCAGGTAGGTAGACTTAAACTGCTATGGAGTTATTTCCATATAAAGAATTATGGGAACCAGCAGGTGGTGTGGTGGTTAAAGTGCTGGACACTCCCACATGCCCGACCACAGTTTGAGTCCTGGATCTGGTGGTGGCTTGCTTTCTCACTTTCCCTCTCCCTCTCTCTCTCTCTTTTCTGTGTCTCTTTCTGGTCAAATTAAAATGAATGAATAAATAAATGAATTTTAAAAAGAAAAAGAAATATTAGAAAGCCAGCCAGGCAGCATAGGGGTTAAGGCAGCTAGATCCCCATGGCCAACTCTGCAGTTTGAGTCCCATGTCTGGTGACTTGAAAAACACTCGAGGCATGTGTACCCAGAATCCCAAGAGAACAGTGGAAGAGAGGGGAATGTGGTGTGGTCATTCCTCCTGAGTGAGGGGACGGTGCTTTCTCACTTTTCTCTCTCTCTTCCTCTGGTGAGTACATGTAAACGCTTTCTCACTTTTCTCTCTCTCTTCCTCTGGCGAGTACATGTAAATAATTTAAAAAAAAAAAAAAAAGAAAAATAAAAAGGGGAGCTGACAGGAGGTTAAGGGTGCTGGACTCTCACATGGCTGGCCATGGTTCAAGTCCCAGACCTAGTGACTTGCTTTCTCACTTTCCTTCTGTCTGTCTGTCTCTGGTCAAATTGGAAAATAAAAATAATAAATAAAAGTTATATAAAATTCTTAAAGAAAAAGAAAAAGGGAGCTGGCAGGTGGCATGGTTAAGATGCTAGACTCCCACATGGCTGACTGTGGTTTCAGTCCCAGACCTGACAGTTTGGTTGGTTGCCAGCTCCCATGCAGCATTCCCCCCCCCCCCCACCCCCGCCCCCTGTCAACCTCTGTCTCTCCCTGGACAAACTGAATAATAATAATCAATAAAATAAGATAATTCTTTAAAAAAATTATTTGATACAAATTCTTTCAAATAAGGACCTGTTAATTTGCTGAATGCAAATTAAATTTTATTTTGAAATTTTGCTGTGCTATAGTGTGTGTTTACTTGCCAGAGACAGAGAGAAAGAGAAGATGAGAAAGCATCTCTGTGGTGACAGCCACATTGCAATCCCTTCTCCGTTCTCCTCGGGATTCCTCCAGCCTATTAGATCCTGGACACAAGACTAAAGATTGCAAGCCGTCCTTTCTTGTTACCCATGTTTCTTTGATTATACTGCTGGCTACAGGAGTGTGGGTCAAACCTGGTATTAGCTTCTTTTCACATGAATGACTAAAGAGGAGGCAGAGGGATTCCGTTTTTCTGACGGTTTTGAACATTTTATTTTAGATATGATTCTGCAATTTGCTTTCAACACAACTGACCCCAAGTTGTTGTTGGTAATTGATCTGATGTTAGGGTATACTTCAGCTCCCTGAAGTACATATCATTTCATCTGAGAAAATGAACCTCAAACACATGTTAAAGGAATAGATGATATAATTCAAGTGGCTAGGCAAAAACTAAGACAAACTCAACCTAGGAAAGAAAGCAGCAATGAAATAAGCATACCAGGCATTATCCTAAAATACTGCTTGATTTGCATGTTATTAAGTAAGTCATAGTTTATTTCTAAAATCAGTATCTTTAAATAGTACTGTTGTGTGTGTTATGTGTACTATTTCTGATCAACCTTCATCCATTTAAGTTTAGTCAGATTGCTTCATCCCTAAAATAGGATATGCTGGTTCAATTTAAACTTAATTTAAAATTAAATTTTAGACTCAGTCCTCCAACAGATGTAGTAAGTCATGTAATGTATGGTTGCCTGTTTATTTTTGTTCAATGCATGCACACACGCTTTAAACCACCGGGTCCAGGACTCGAACCATGGTTGACTACATGGGAGGCCAGCGACATAGTCATTACACCATCTGCTGGTTCCACTACTGCTATATTAAAAGAGCAAAAACTAGGGGCCAGCAGGTGTAGTGGTTAGGGCGCTGGATCCCACATGGCCGACTCTGTGGTCTGAGTCCTGGGCCCAACAGCTTCAAAAACGTGCCTGGCATGTGTTCATGCATGCCCCACATCCCAAGAGTATGGAGAATGGATTCAAGCATGGCCATTCCCAGAGGATGAGCTCTATCTCTTTCTCTGTTTCTGGCAAGCACACCCACTCTATGGCAAGAAATTAGGATACAGAAAGCAAGGACTTCATATTTGCCCTGTATTTTCAAACAGGTTGTTTAAAAATAGTAAAGTTTCATTTTCTGATATATAAAACTATAAAAGTATAACAATTCTGACCAAGCTTGCATATTATTTAGTAGGGATTTTTTTGTTCATTTGTTTTAATTATGATAGCATGAGTGCCCTCCACAGGGTCTGGTCACTCCTCAGTCCTGATCCTCCAGCCTATTAGATCCTGGGCACAAGTGTATGTCTAGCATGTTTCAGGCTGACAGGCCAGAGATTCATACCATGGTTGCCATATGGGATCCAGCTTCTCTGAAGCAGTATACTACTGTTCTCCCATGGTGCCAGTCTTTTACTAGGTGTTTTTTTGTTTTGTTTTTTAAAGGTTATTTAATTTTATTTATTACTACTACTACTTTTTAATTTGCCGAGAGAGAGAGAGCGCGAGCAAGCGAGAAAAAAGAAAAGTGAGAAAGTGAGACCAACAGATGGCCTAATGGTTACATTGCTGGACTCCCAAGAAGTCAACCACAGTTCCAGTCTTGGAATCAGCTGTTTAAAACTCAGGCCAAATGTGTGTGTGCCCACCCAAATTCCCAAGAGGAGAGTGGAGGAGAAGGGACTGTGGCATGGCCATCCCCCTGGGGGGTAATTCCTTGCTTGCTTTCTGTCTCTCTGACTCTCTAGCAAGTGCATGCTCCCTGCAGCCAAAAAAAAAAAAAATCTCTCTTAAAAAACAAAAACAAAAACATGTGATTGATCATCTTGTTAAAGATAATGGGTAGTAAGAGTTGCCTCAAACTGAAATCTCTTAATTGTCCAAATTTCTGGGGCCAGCCTGTGGTGTGGTGGTTGAGGCATCTGGATCCCACCTGACCAGATGTGTGGCTCGAGTCCCAGACCCAGTGGCTGTGTGTGTCTCCCCAGAATCCCAGGGAGAGAATGGGGGTGGGGGGTTGTGGTGTGGCCATCCCCCTTGTAAGTTGATTTCTCACTTTACCTCTCTCTGATGAGCACACACACACACTATAGCAAAAACTTTACAGAAAAAAAAAAAAAGATTTTATTGTGGCTTCTTATAGATGAATGTATATAATGCATATACATGATAAGAATGTGATCATCTTTTTTTCCCTTCATTTAGTCATGGTGTTAGAAATAGTACAGTGGAGGGCTGGCAGGTGGTGGTGTGGTTAGGGATGCTGGACTTGCACATGGCTGACTGTGGTTTGAGTCCTGGACCTGGCAGCTTGCTTTCTCACTTTCTCTCTCTCTTACTCACTCATTCTCTCTGTCCCTTTCTGGTCAAATTTAAATAAATAAATCTTTAAAAAAAAAAAAAAAAGCAGTGCTGGGGCCAGTAGGTGGCGTGGTGGTTAAGGGCTCTGGACTCCTACATGGCTGACAGTGTTTCAAGTCCCGAACCTGGCAGCTAGCTTGCGTTCTCACTTTTCTCTCTCCCCCTCCCTCTCTGGTCAAATTGAAATAAATAAATAAATGGATAAAGTTAAAATAATTCTTAAAAAAACAAAACAAAACAAAACAAAAACCGCAGTGCAATGGACTAGGGTAACCACATAGAGGACAAGATCTTGTCTGAGGATTTTTTTTTTTTTTTTTTTGAGAGATTTTCACTGTAGGGCGCGTGCACTCGCCAGACAGACAGAGAGAGACATAGAGACAAAAAGTGAGAAATCACCCCCCAGGGGGGATGGTCACGCCACAATCCCTTCTCCTCCATTCTCCTCTTGGGATCTTGGGCACGCACGCACAGGCGCCCGGCGTGAGTTTTAAGCCACCGGGTCCGGGACACAAACCGCGGTCGACTACGTGGGAGTCCAGCGACATAGCCATTACGCTAACTGCTGGTTCCCTTGTCTGAGGATTTTTGATGGACTCAGCATGTATATGTGAAGAGTCTTTCCATTCCCAGGTCTTGGGGACCCATGTGATGAGAATGGAACATGTTGGTCTTGGTTTTCTGTGATATGAACATCATTCTGTTGTGTCAACTTTCTGGGGATGTTTTATGCTTTCTTGTCCTCAATTCTTAAGTGCGTAAGGTTAAAACCAGTTTTCCTTTGACTTTTTTAGCGAAACCTTGAAAGCCATTTGATGTCACCTACTGAGATTCCAGGCCAGCCTGTCCCTAAGAACATCCTGCAGGTATGTCACAATCTTACACTGAAGTCTTGGAGTCCTGAACAGTAATCTTGAACTGGCTTTGTGTAGCAGCCAACTTTGGGTCCCAGAAAATCTGTGTTGCCTAACAAAGACATGATGTTGCTGTCTGACATAGTACTGTATTCCTGTTCATTTCAAAGGGCCACGGCCCAAAAAGGTGACAGTGTAAGGCCTTGACTTCCAGCTTACAGGTTTTCAACTTTGGTGAAACTAAAAAAGTATGAAAACTGGGGACCAGCAGTTGGTGTAATGGCTATGTCTCTGGACTCCCATGTAGTCGACCACAATTCGAGTCCCAGACCCAGTGACTTAAACTCACTCCGGGCACGTGTGCATGTGTCCCCAAGATCCTGAGAGAATGGAGGAGAAGGGATTGTGACGTGGCCATCCCCCCTGGGGGGTGATTTCTTGCTTTTTGTTTGTCTCTCTCTGTCATTTGGCGAGCTCATATGCCCTATAAGCAAAAACCTCTCCAAATAAAAAAAGTATGATAGCTATATTTGTAGCACAACATAATGCAAATGTTTCTAGCTGAAAATTCAGAGAAATATGTTGCATGTACACATGCCAAATCCTCCTGTGATGCATGAGGGAGTTTCATTGTTTGGCTTCCAAAACTTGTAATCCACAGCCTCTGACTAGAAGGAAGAACTAGGTTTGTTCACCAAGCTTTTCTGCCTTTAGGAACTTCTAGGCCAACCAGTTCAGAGACCTGCTTCTTCCAATCTTCTGAGCGGCCTTATGGGGAGTTTGGAGCCTACAACATCTTTATTGGGCCAAAGAGCATCCTCTCCTCCGCTGTCACAGGTGTTTCAAACTCGAGCAGCCTCTGCAGATTACCTTCGCCCAAGGATACCATCACCAATTGGTAAACACTCTTCTGATACATTATCTGTCCATCCCTTCCCCCACACACACATTCCCATACATAGGTTATACTATTCCTTTAGTGCAAACAGTCTTTAATGGGCGTCCTTATTCATCCTAAGAGATTAAAAAGAAATGTGTGAATTATACTTTGGTATAGGGGACAACTTTGGAAGAGTTAGCCCAGTTGCCCTCCTATGTGAATATGTTCATGTTATATTCTTTCCTTGAGATTAATTTAAATTGAATCAAGTTCATCCTTATTGGGAAATTCAATCCCAAAAATAAGTTTGGCTTTTTAGGTTTTTCCTTGATGCACAGGAATCAGAGTAGTGACTCTCTGCCAGACTGGTGACTGATAGACAATTGACAGAAGTCTGTGGGTTTTTCAGAATGTGGCTGAGAGAATCACTTCTAGAAAGGGACAAAGCTGACATCTGATTGGGGAAGACAGATATAACCGCAGTTCAGGCCACATAGTCCATTGAAAGTGGGACATCTGTCAGCCTAGACTTCCCAAAAGAGATGGTATTCAGTGAGGTGTAGCATGCGTTAGTGATAATGCCTCCCGCACGGATCATGCTGTCCTTTTTTTGTCAGAGGACACATGCACTCACCAGAAAGAGGGAGAAAGCATCCCCCAATGGAGTGTGTTCATGGTTCAATACCTTCTCTTCCGTTTCTCCATCATGTTGGGATTTGCGGCATGCACTCATGTGCTGGTATGTCTTTCCAGCTGCTAGGACTAATTTGAACTGCAGTCAGCCATGTGGGATCTTGCTCCTCTATCCACAAGGCTATGGGGCCAGCCCCATGCATGCCATCTTGACAATCACTGAGACTAACTTTTCTGACAGGTTTTACACCAGGACCACAGCAGCTCCTCGGAGATCCATTCCAAAGCATGCGCAAGCCCATGAGCCCTGTCACAGCTCAGGTCAGGCCGTGCTCTTTCTTGTACTTCATCTGTTGCTTGGTTTTCATCTTTACTGTTGCTTGTGGCAGAGGTCTCCAACCCCTGAGTCACGGACTGGTGCTAGTCTGCTGGTCACACAGCCATAGTGGGTGGTGGCAAGCCAGTGAGGCTTTATCGGTTTGCAGCTGCTCCACACTACTTGCATTGTCACCTGGGCTCCATCTCCTGTAATGTCAGTGGCAGTATTGGATTCTCACGGGAGGGTGAACTCTTAATGTTGGGTGTTTGTTTCATTGTATATTGCAACGTGGCAGTGGTGGAAATGGGGTACATGGTGGATCTAGCATGCTTGAGTCATTCCAGGACCAACCAACTTCTCCCATTCCCAGTTATAGAGGGATTGTCTTCCACGAGGCTGGGCCCTACTGGCAGGAAGGTTGGGGACCGCTGACTTGTGGGATGGAGAATTGAATTGTAGCAGTGCTTGGAAGTGGTTTTGAATTATAATTCAAGCTCAGTAAAGGCTAGACTAATTGCTGATTATTTTACTTGAATGGTTAAAATCCTGCTGAGTGGATGGCAGCACAGTTCAGTCAGGGCAGCAGCATTTAGTCTCAGCTGCCTCTTACACAGGACTTTTTCAGAGCAGAGAGCCCTTTGTAGAAAATGTATCAACTGTCATTTCTCTACTGACCCTTCCTGCCATTCCTGTTCAACAGATGAGCCAGTTGGAGTTGCAACAGGCAGCTTTGGAGGGGCTGGCTCTGCCACATGACCTTGCAGTGCAGACAGCAAACTTCTACCAGCCTGGCTTTGGCAAACCACAGGTAGACAGAACCAGAGATGGATTCAGAAACAGGTAAATGATACTAACCCTATCCATGTGAGAACTTGCATAGCTCTCCTGTGATGAATAAATCAGTTATCTAATATAATTCTGTCGCACATGCAAATAACTTGCACAGCACATGGGGGATTCCATCCCCTCCTTGTGTTATCAGTAGAGGAAATAGTATTATTGAATTCTCCTGCAGGGACATGAGGGCTTCATCCTGTATGGCTTTATTTGTATCTTGATTTATAAATGAATGTTATTGGTTTCAGTTTGCTAATTAGTCACGTGGAAGGGATGCTACCTATCCTGTTTACTTAACAATACTGTTATCAGTAAATATATTTTAAAATCTTCTGACAGAACAGTTAAAGGATTCATTTTTACAGATGAAGCTAGCATCACTCCTTATTGGGAATAACACTTATGATATGAAAAAAGGCAAAGCTCCACCTAGCTTGCTCCCTGCACCGGTGCCATGTTGTGTTACCAAACTTGCCCTTAATGTAGCTTTGTTACATTGCTCTGAGCTGGTGGATTTGTAGATCAGAGCTGTTAACGAGTAGATTTCTGATTTCACTCCTTTTCACTAGTCACAACAAGTGATAAAATGAAGTGAACCATGAGAGAACAGGGGCAGGGGTCCTTTTTTATTTTTTTCAAATATTATTTAACTTTTTGTTTATGTTATTTTCTGGGGGGTGTGGGGGGAGGAAAGAAAGCGACAGCAAAACCACGAGGTCTGGGACATGAACCACAGTTGGCCCATGTGGGAGTCCAGCACCCTTAACCACCACGTCACCTGCCACCCCTCAGGGGTCCCTTTTTATATGACAAAATAAAACATACAGAAAATTGCATAAAACGTGTAGCTTATTATAAGTCAACCCACCCTTACTAATTACCAGGAAGCATGCCAAATGCCTTTCTTCCCTCAGAAGTGATTGCTGTCTAGCCTTTAAAAATAATCACTACCTTCATTCCTGTAGTTTTATCACCATAATGTGCTTTCCTAAATTTAAGGCATTTAGTCCTGCCCATACAGTGCTTGGCAATTAGGATTATTTATGGTTTTTTTTGTTTGTTTTTGTTTTTTTGGAAGGAGTATTTATGTTTTGTTGTGATTCTTAAGATTACCTTGTCAGGGACCAGCAAAACCTCTCAAAAAAAGAAAAAAAGAAAAGATTACCTTGTCAGTGTCTCAGTGTCTTGCTTCAGCTGGTTTCATGTATCAGCACGTTCTGAAGACACTGAAACCAAGAGGTATCCATGCATAACTGCATCCTATCTGTGGTATTCCTTTGCCCAAACCTAGATCACAGGGCTGGTCTACTGAGGCCCTTCTCCTGCTTTAGCATGAGGTAGTTTACTTAACATTCACTGACATGATTTATGACTCTTCTTTTTTTTTTTTTTTTTGAGAATTTTACTATAGGGTAATTTCCAGAGAGACAGAGAGAAAGTGAGAAATCACCCCCCAGTGGCCATACAGTAATCCTTTCTCCTCCATTCTCCTCTCAGGATTTTGGGCATGCCTGCACATGTGCCTAATATGAATTCTAAGCCACATGATCCAGTACTCAAACCGCTATCATCCATGTGGGAGTCCAGCACCGTAACCACTAAGCCACCTGCTGGCTGGCCCCATGATTTGTGACTTTAAAAGTACTCCTAACATTGAACATTTTTTTTTCTCTTTTTTTTGGGGAGGTTTTTGCTATAGGGCATGTGTGCTCGCCAGAAAGAAACAGAGACAGAAAGCGAGAAATCACCCACCGGGGGGATGGCCATGCCACAATCCCTTCTCCATTCTCCTCTTAGGATCTTGAGCATGCACGTACACCCGCCCATTGTAAGTTTAAACCACCAGATCTGGGATTCAAACCACGGTTGACTACTTGGGAGTCTAATAACATAGCCATTACACCAACTGCTGGTTCCAACATTGAAAATTCTTTTGGCTCTTTACAACAGCCATGAGGTAGATAGGATAAATAACTGCATTTTACAGATACAGAAATGTAGACTTGAAATGTGACTACTTGGAGCTAGCAAGTAGATCCAAGTCAGTGTTAGTGGAGGCTTCATGTTTTGGATCAAATGTTAGGCCCTCCCTGAACACTGCATATAGTTATGCCATCTAGTACATTGCCTTTTCCCTTACCCTGCTTTATATATATCTTTTTTCTTTATTTGTTATTATTCATTGCTATATCCCCAGCACCTGGAACAGTGTCTAGCACATAGTAGGTGCTCAAATTTGTTTACCAGAATAAACGATAGGTCATTTGGAACCTCTACGTTTGTCTGCCTCCATTGTCATGCTTGAAGTCTCAGTGTGTCAGCAGTGGGGCTTACCTGAAGCAGGATGGAAAGAAGTCGTGGGTTCAGGAGGTCCATCTGTTTATGCAGAGATCTTCAGACTCATTGACTATTCTTGGGTATTTTTTTCTTCAGTATTTATTTTCTTACAAGTTGAAGAAGAATGAGTAAAATGGCTGGGAAGAAAGGAAGTCTGTTCTTTTTCCTTTACTCATGAGGCCTGGGATCATTGTTTTGTGCAGACCACAGTGGTGGAGAGTGCTACCTGTGACTGGGTCCTAAAGCAGCTGAAACTCCTGGTTCTCTGTTTATTTGAACCAGTGTCTCTTGGAACATCAATTCTGTACCAGGCACTATGCTAATTGGTGTTATTCCCTGCCGCTGGAGCACAACCTGGTCCCTAGGAAAAAAACCTCTACCTCTCCTGTGCAGTCTTACAGATAAACTACACAACAGATGAACCCCGAACCTTTGTCTTCCGTCTTTAGCCTGTTACGGGTCACACCCAGTTTAATGTCGCTTCTTCCCCAAGAAACTTTCCAGCTCCTAGCGTGCCCTGTCCTACCTCTTGGTTTCCCATCATTGTACTTTGTTGGAGCTTATACCTACATGCCGTAGTTTGCCCTAGGTTTTTGTTTTGGTTTTTTTTTTTTTTTTTTAAGATTTATTTAATTTTATATTATTTTCTCCATAAGGCGGGTGCACTCATGAGAGAGAGAGGAAATAAGTAAGAAAGCAAGCCACCAGGTCTGGGACCCCAACCATGGTCAGCCATGTAGGGGTCCAGCCCCTTAACCAAGCTACCTGGTGGCCCATTGCCCTAGGTTATTAAATGTCTCCCTCATTAGACCAAAGAGCTCTTGGAAAGCTGGAACTATGTTAAGCTGCTGTCTTCTCTCAGAAGTTAGCATTTGCTTTTCTTACATTAGGCACTTACTAAATGCTTGGGAAGTTGAATTGGATAAGGGAAATGAGATTTGAAATTCCTAGGCTGGTCTAGAATATTACATGGTTTTAGGACTTGAGTTTGAGTGTGGGGTTCACAATGACAACTGGTTTGTTTACAGGCAACAGCGAGTGACCAAGTCACCAGCACCCGTACACCGAGGGAACTCCTCTTCCCCTGCCCCCGCCGCCACCATCACAAGCATGGTTAGTGACTATTAGTAACCGAATGAATTTAAAGCTGCTTTCTCTATTTGGCTGTGCCTATGTTATACCATTACAGGCTTCTAAACGTCCTTGAGTGCCTGCCACAGGAATAACTGAACTGCAGTCCATCACACGTGCCCATTCATTAGTTCTTTCCCATTCAGGACAGTCTAATTCTTAGGATGGTAATGAATCATGCCTCTAGGTTGGAAAGTGTGATTCAGCAGATAGACACATGGGCCAGGGCACACAGGGTGTGCCCTGTGTTCAAACATAATGAACCTCTGGTGTGGGTATGGGGTTGGAGGATAAGGGTACATACAGGACACATGAGGTGACAGGGGTAACTAGGGTCAGGATATGGGTTGTCCAATGAAACGTGCTAGGGAGTTCACAGACTCAGATTCAGTTCTCAGTGGTATGAACTAAGTCCGGAACAGGCTTGCTTACGTGTGGTTGACAGTCCTTATTTTACAACTGGGTAATGTCTTAGCATTATTTTTTAAATATTTCATTCCCCAAATACAATCAGGAAAGTACTGCCGTGTGCTACACGACTGCATATGGGGCCTGGGTTTTTTGTACCACTCACCTTGAAGGAAGGATCTGGAAGGAACAGTTCTGTCTCCTCCCGTGAAGGATTTGGGTTATTTAATGAGAAAGGTGTGCACATAATAAAATCATAAAGTACAAATAGTTAAGAGCTGGGAACAAATGAACCCAAATGATGAATCGTAGTGGTCTAGGAGGTAAGATCTGTGATCATTGTGAATTTTCTGGTAGCTGAGATAAACATGAAAAGTGTGGAGTAATTTCAGGTGTGAGGTTGTCTGAGTATCCTTCCCCAGGCAAGAGCTATGGCTCTAGCCTATTCTGGCCATGCTCTTCCCCTCTTCGTAGCTGGGGAAATGTGTGAGACAGGCTGCTGAGGAGGGGCGCCCCCCCTCTAGAAACCCCCA